ACTTTTAACGCAGGTATGGTAATATATATAAGTTGCATTTAATTAGTAGGTAGGTGGGTGGGTGGTGGTTTGTCTGTTACTTCTGCACCAGTGGAATCTAAGTGCTGCCAGTTTTAACACATTCTGCTGGCTACCCACTCCCCAGTAATGCTTTGATTTACTGCTAAGATTGTTCTCACCTCCACGATCATTGGAATACATTGACATTGATTGACCAATAAATATATTAACACACCACAAATTAGAAGATAATTTTCCGAACACTATAAATATTAGCAGATTAATTAACGAACTAATGACCGCAGCAACAAACGAGTAAAGGCACGGTCACCAATAGAATACGAATTCCGCAACCCATCGGGGACGGATAGATTATCTTTATTATCTACCGTCATTATTATTTATAATCATGATTAGGGGGCATTTTTCGTATCATTATCAGCCTCAGAGAACTATCGCAGGAATACGATAACTGGAAAGAACTTACCTTAACTAAAACAACAAATTCAAATAGTCGTCTAATGTTGGTAGGAAATGCCCTAGCATATGTTATGGCGATTTTAAAGAACAGTGCATGAAACAGTCTATCACGGACATTGAGTAACTGCTGATTTTGATCTCCAGTCCGTCCACGGTTCGCATTTTGTTGTGCTTGTCGATTTTCAGACATCTTGATAAATATATATATTTTTTGAATGATACGATGTTCAGCTGAATAACTAGCGACAACTCATATTCGGGTGCATAATGAATGTCGTTAAGAAAGGAGAGTACATGTAAAAAAGACAACGGTGAGCACACAGGATTGACAACATTGGAATTGAATTGCAGCGATCCTCTTGTTTAGCCAGAAAATGTTGTCCAAATCATTCATCGATCAAACAGTCCGGCAGTGTATTTCTCCCATGAGATAACAGTTATACGTCACGGCCGTGCCTATAGCAATCACCTTGAAGTTGAAGAAAAAACATAAAGCACGAAATAAACAGTTTCATACGTCGGCCATGTTGAATGACGTCACAAGATCCAGACGAGCTCAACAAGCGGCCTCACAAGAAACGTAGTTTTACACAAAACAGCCGGTTAATTTGTTCTTTAAATAAACAGTCCACAAGTGTTTAAAAAGTGGGAGGCGTATGTTCACTAAAACAGGTCCTAAAATATATCTGTACTGTATTATTATCGTACGACTCATGAAATGGTATAACCAATACTACTTCCGGTTCCGTTTTCTTGCTTCCGGGTTGTGAATTGTCAGGCTGTGTGTTAAAGAATATTCTGAATGATCGCGTTTAAATCTATGTAATATTTCAAATGTCGAATATATCACCTACCCCGGTGACATACGAGGGAGAAAAAGACCTGACTGATGAACAAGATGATGGATCAGATGAAGTAACGGCGCTTGATGACGACGAATGCCTTAGTGGGCAACAAGAAGGAGCAGGCATGTTAGATGCGGCGGCCAGTATACGCACCGGGGACGATATTCCTGAAGATGGTATACAACAAAGTGAAGTGCTTGACAAATCTGATGAAGATGATGCTGATGGGAATACAGACAGCGATCCTGAATCTCTGTTGCCAGTCCTACCTAAAGTTAACTGCCCAGAAAAGATTGTGAGTTTGTATTTATTTATTTATTTATTTATTTATTTGTTTGTTTGTTTGTTGGTTGGTTGGTTGGTTGGTTTGTTTGTTTGTTGTTAAATCTCATCAGCTGCAAGAAAGAGTTGCTTAAGGTAGCGGGATAGTTTTTTAGCATGAAAAATGTAAACATCTATAATCAGAATAAATTTTACAAGAACCTATACAATCTATATATGTCTGGAAAGCCCTTGACTTGTACTTTTCTATTATTAATATTTTGTGAACATTGTGTTTGTTTTAGCATCATGTGATTCTGAAAATCGGCGCGGCTGATAATTAACTAACGTGAATACATTTTTAAATGTCAGCTCTACGGTTATTCATGCAACCAAAAACTTTACACTGTTTTGAAGCAACGGTCATGTAGTTTAAATCCGTATTTCTATTTTGTACATTAAGTTTGTTTTTCCTTTTTGAAAATCACAAATTTCTAGCACGTTTTTGGCGTTAAAGTTAGTGTATACTGGTGATTTGCGCGAGGTTTGTGAAAAAACGCAATAGAATTTTGCAAATATGTAAATACGGATATGAAGCCAACATATTCAAGAGTAAGAAAAACCAAACGGCGACATCATAGCGCTACTCACTGAAACGCTATTTAAAATTAAGTCAACGGTAATTGCCAGAAATCCAACACCGAGAAATCGGCACTTTTATGATTTTAAACTTCAATCAAGGTTAACTCCCGTTTTAGCAGCAACAATTATATGGGTTGGTAGTAAATAAATTACCTTGAAGGTTGTTCTCAGGAAAAATCATGAATCGACATTTATGTCTGTGAAAAAACTGTATTTTTTTACCGTTTTCTTTCACGCTATGGAGTTTTGACATGGTCTGTGCTGTTAACGAACGGTGACGTCATTCATTACAGCTGGGATTATGCAAAGTGGGTGGTTCTGTTTGCGGGTAGCAAACAACACAAATACTACACTAGGCAGTTGAAGTGTTTGTCAACATAGCGTATTTATGTTTGGGCCGTTTTATTTGCAAACTTATTTTCTCGAGTATTACACAAGTTTTTTAAAAGTCTTTTAGAGACACAAGAACACCTTCCGACAATAATTATCAGACTCCCGCGAGCAAATTTGCACAGAATACGGTAGAATAAGAAAATGGAATGGCGGCTGTGGGATAAGTTTTTTTATGTGTGGATTTGGGGAAATGCAGAGTAAATTTTCAACACGAAAATATTGTAAATCATCATCCGACGAGATCGTTTTTGTTGGACTTGTTATTTTCGGGAGGGACCTTTTGTAGTGTTCATGCAAGTTTAGTTTTCATTTTACCTGAATAAGCCTAAAGCGATTTTCAGGGAACGCTGCACCTCCTCACCAAAGTGTTCATCTTACAGAACATTTACATGCACTCTTTTCGCAGGTACATCGGACTTTGGTTTGATTTTGGTTTAAGATAGTAACAACCACCATCAGCTAAATTCAAGTCCATTATGTTCGCAAATAATTGTGCTGCATCAAGTTTTAAACTTGCCACTTTCTTTCCACGAAAAGTCACAATGACTGCGTTTTTATTATCGTGAAGATTCTGGCGATCTCGGCAAAAGAGGCTACCGTAGTGTGGCTCCCCAACAGCAAGTACATTGCGGATAACATTTTTTTCTCATGATAACAGTAATCAATCACTGTCAACAGACTGTAATATTTGTTTCAATTGACGATTCTTTCAACGTAATTCGACCAATGAAAAAGCAGTGTTCTAAAATATTGACAGACACTAAACAACCACGCGTGGTTTTTTTGTTATGGCTATGATGGGGCTTCGAAGTGTCTTGCTTTGATCGGACTTTTCTGGTCTGTTTATAATTCACACTTCTGCATTTAATACGTCGTCCGCTATCTAGGGAAACATCCTCTACCTTTGTGAGTACCGTCGTTGAGGAAGCGAAAACTGCTGTGAATGACGGTGGAGTCAATGAAAATAAATCACTGAACAGCAAACTTCAAGAGGTGTTAGCTGGGGAAGATAACTCTGGAGAAGAAGACGACGAATTTGACTTTTTGGACGAAGACAGTTTGAAGGTGAAGATATCACAGATGCCCTTCAAGTATTTGTGAATGATGCTGACAAATCCGACTTTGAGGGCTTTTAGTTTTACAGCCAAAACAAAGTTAGCTTGGACTTTCAGTTGCGAGACGTGACCAAAAAAACGCAGAGTGATACATTTTGAAAACAAAAATACAAAATAATCAAAGACGCCGACCAGGCGCGTTAGAAATAAATAGAACACGCTGTGACACAGTTTCACTGGCTTCTTACACTCACGCAATATAATTATGCTATTTCCAAATGCTTATATTGATCACTGTAAAAGTGGATAAATTCAAACCAGCCATCAAATTAAAAATTCGGATCTCGCTGAATGTCAATCAACACCGAACTCGGTAAGGGTCAAGCCCCCCCTGATCTGATCCTAAAAAAACATACAATGTATCAAACAGAAATAAAAAATAAATAAAAATCTTTTATTTTGACAACAGATTTAAAAATAACATTTGAAACGTAAATTTGTCTTCCCAAAATATTAAAAAAAAAATATTAAAAAATACCAAACTGCCGTTAAAATCCGGTAACATGTGATACACTCATGTACTACTAGTATTTTGTTTATTCAAATTTTTTTGTGTTTCGAAAGTGTTTGTTTTTGCTGTACAGCTTCCTCCTCTTGAAACGAAGCAGTGCACATATCTTATCAGCTGTTTGTAAACTACAAACAGATATCTTATCAGTTGTTTGTAAATAGCTTAGCCCCAGTTCAGTTATGTTTGTTAACCATGAATATTAATGAGAAGCACTCATGGGGTGTACACTGGATAAACAAAAACTTGGGTGTTTGTTTGCACACACCTTACCTAACCATAACATTCAACCCCTCCAATGTAGATAGATAACTAAACTGTCTTGAAAAGGAGTGTACAATTTAAAATGGGGGAGGGGCAATGGAAGGGTAAGGTTTAGCCCTGCGTACAGTGCTGTGTGTACGGGGATGCGTTCGGTTGATAGATGTCCCCACCACAGCCCTGCGAACTTCCATAGACAAAGTCCGGGACTTTGAAAAATATAACTTTTTTAATGAAATAATATGCCCAGGTACCAAAAATGATGATCCATTACCAGATATATCCAGAACTCCCAGTTCGGAGTCCAATTGTGGATGAAATCGGCTACTAAACGCATTCTCTCGCGTGAATGAAATTAAAAATGGCGACGTTTGGTGGATAATTCCTCCGGTACCTACGCGTTTACAATTTGTCCATCTTTACTAGTCGTTTTTTTAAAGACATTTCAGTTTCAGATAACTTTATAATGGTTGTTACGGATAACTATCGTCATTTCAACCGATTTCGGCTGGGAAA